AGATGCAAACAGTATAGGGAACCAAAAAAAAGTCAAGAAACACCAACGTACAACTTTTTAAATTACTATTAAAACAGGGTTTGTAGTCTTTGAAGCTTTTAAAATTCCATGACTTTCCATGACCTTTCCAAGTTTTCCATGACCTAAGTTATGCAGCTGCTCTCGCAGAAGTATCAAAAACTCATTTATTTAACGTATTTTCCAGCATTATTATGAATAAAATGTGTGCTTGTGTCCTTTTCTACTGAAATTACAGCCTCTTTCAGATTCGTCTGTTATTTTTTCAATTTTTAAAATACCTTTTGGCCAAGCACATTGTTTTACCATGACTTTCCATGACCTTCATTTAAATTTTATGACTTTCCAGGCCTGGAAATTGAAATAACAAATTCCATGACTTTCCAGGTTTTATATGACCAGCACGAAGCCTGAAAAAATAATAGCTTACCACTATATGCACTATTATTATACAATGTACCTTTACCACTTGTTTCCTCCACTGAACAGACAAAAGCTTCACTATTCACTGACACATCTTCTGTATCTGTTAACATAAAAATGCTCGAGTTAAGAATAAGTGATTTACAAGCATCCACAACACGTTACTCTTATCTGTTTACACCGCGAAAAATAACTAGTTAATATTAAGTGACTCGCAAGCATCCACAACCCTTTCACACAGACACTTCCCTCCCCTACCACATGCCAGCTACTTCAAATCCATTCTTGAAGAAAAAAGATTGGTTATTTTCAACAAAGAAACAAATGTGTGTTGAAAAGGCCAAAACCAAACAAATTCTTATCCTTGTTAACCACAATAGATGCAACAGTACAACAAAACTATTCCAATTACTAAACCTGAAGCAAGACCAACATAGATATTTAGTTTTATTCCTGTTAAAAGAAGCTATATATAACTTATACCATTATATGTACCACATTATGATGTCTATAATGTACCTTTTTCACTGGCTTCATCCACTGAGCAGGCAAAAGTTTCACTATTCACTGATGCTTCTTTTTTATCTGTTTACATAAATGTCAGTTAGGTGAAACCAAGGAAACATTTCATTGTTAAATCTCTGAGTAACGTTTTGAGGACAATGTCATGCCATCTGTGGGGACATTAGCACAATACCCTGTTAAACTGTTCATACATAGAGACAGACAGACAGACAGACATACATACATTGAGCACTGAATAAGAATGCAGCATGTTCGAACCACGAGTGTAAAAACGAGCGATAATTCAAAGTAGCAATGTTGCAAACAAAAGTTTGAGTTTTGGCGGGAATATAACGCCATACGTAAAAGCCCACTATGATAGTGATCGATATTGGAGCGATGGCAACTTATAATGGGGAATCGTGAAGGGTTAATACATGACGTATTTTCTGGATAGGTAATGCGCCGCTGTTAGTTGCCAGCGTTGAGCCTGTGTCATGCCTGTGTCGAGCTCTGTCGTGTTCGGTC